GTTTTTCGACTCACTTACTCCTTATAGCTTCCACTCATTTTATTATAGGTTAATTAGAATTACTGGTTGACTGACACCTGTCTTCCCATGCTCTCCGGATTGCGTTTTGAACATAAACGATTACATTCGCCCTTTCAAGAAAATCGCGCGAATAAAAATAATTAAACGGTGATTACCCCGTTACAGATTATTTAATACTATTAAAATATTTTTTCAACAGAAGAGTAAATTTTGATTTTCATGAAATCCATGAAAATATTAAGAAAAAATTTATTTCCAAATTCCTTATTTTACTAAAAATTTTTATTTTTCATGTAAAAAGTCATGTTTTTAGTATATACAACTTTTTTATATTTGTATTGATTTTTCAGATATTTGAACTTGATAAAATAATCAATTTTTTTACTAATATACTTTTAAGAGAGGTAAAAATTAACGTATAAACTTCCTTGACCACGCGTTTTCAAGCTAAGAGCCATAAGCTTTAAATGTCCTTGACATTTTTAAGATGCGATAACCGGTTCCAAAATATAGTTTCATGAGGGTGCAATATTTCGATTTTGTTGTTAATAAAATATAACTTTTTTAGTTTTTTCCAGTTCACAATAATTTTTTTGAATTTTTGGACTAACAGAAGATGATCATGTTGGAATTATGCGATAATTAATTGGCATAATTGGAAAGCTGCAATAATTTTTTGCCAAGATATAAAACTTGTGCTATCTAGATTTTTTCCTAAGGTTGGCAAAAGCATGTGATGAGGAGTGTGTATTGAAATTACACGTGTGATTAACAATATTCGCAAATTGCTTTCAGTAATTTTTTGGCATTATCTGGATTATTATATGATACCTTATATTTAGCCCAAGTCGCAGAAAAGTCGTAATGAACGACTTCCATGACCTGCTCACTATAAAAGCCTAGACCCTGCAGAATTCTTTTACATGAAAAAAATGTCATGGGCTGTTGGCGTTAGTGGAATATTTAAGGCTAAGTACGCTTCCTTGAATTCATTAATATATTTTGGGAATTTCGGGTTTAAATCTACAGTAAAACAAGCTTTGATTATCGCATGAAATTTTGTAAAAGCATCAACAAACTTTAAGCAACCAATGGTACAGATTGATCTCAACAAATCAATATTATAAAGTAGAATTTTACAACTGTTTCCTTTAAAAGAAGGACTTCCATGATTCATTTCTTGTTGTACATAACAACGCTCAGCCCATTCATTAGATTCTTTTCCAAATGCTTTGAACATATACGAGAATAGCGTATTGACAACCCCTAGCCATAAATCTAATTCTGAAGGAGGAATTATATCCAAAATCAATCTATTCTTAGTAGTTTGAATGATTGGAGGGTATATACAATTTTTATAATTCCTAGCTTTCTTTCTATTACCATTTGCACCATGCCATTCCATATAATTTTTTAATATATTACTGATAGTTATATATTCATCAACTTGCTGGAGATTATTTTTATTTGCATAGCACCAACAACATGGATGTGAGCTTGAGCATGACATCACGCCGACAAGAATGTTTGCGAGCTTTAAATTGGTTGCGATAGTTCCCTCAAAATTATTTATACTTAACTCTGACCATAATTGTATTACGTTTTCGTAATTTTCTTGAACACATTTAGCTAAACCTATAATAAATAGTTTTTTACACTTGAGTCTTGTAACTTTTTAGCCGCTATTCCATCTTTGTACGATTGACGAATACATTTTTTTTCAGAAACACTTACATCATTTTCAACAGTACACTGACCACTCAAACAAACATTCAAAAAGCCACTTCCACCGTTAATACCAAATTTCAAGTGTTTTGATGTAATATTGCGTGATTCAGTAATGTGTTCAATTAGTTTCTCTAAATTAATGCAATATATCAATGTCTTACTAACAGCAGAAATAATATCGCCAACGTTACGTTTAAAATCAAAAACTCTGCATTTAAATAAATCATCTAATATGTGATTTTTATCCATAGTTTCCTTTTCAAATGTAGTTCAATAATTCTTGCATTTTTTGATTGCTGTACGAATTGCTGTCGCAATTCTACTCGTAACTTTGTAACTTAAATTGAAGGTTGTACGAATATTTTGAAAATTTTCCATCGTAAACAACGTTTCTTTTGGCTTTTTAACTGATCCGACTGTAACTCTCAAGGGTTTTCCACCTTTAATTTGCAATAATTGCACTGAATTACTATTACTTTTGACAGCAATAACATCTTTAACAGAGAAGATGTTAACTGTTCTTTTTTTTCAGCGCAACATTTGCTATATTTTCTTTCACATGATTTACTGTCAGCGACTCTCTACAAACATGACTTTTCCCTTTTCTCTATTGCACTTTTACATTTTGAACAGATTTTTATCACTGTAGTTTTTTTTTGGTTTTTTCTCACTCAAATACGACTTATGTTCAGTAGAGAAAACGTTTTTCGAGATAATTCTATTCATTCCATGCTTTCTTGCTATTTCACAAAAGTAAAAATTACATTTCACATTTTTATTTAGTCTTGTTTCTTTCTTCAAGTGAAATTTCGAGAAATCTATTTTTGTCACTTTTTTATTGTCCAGTGTTAAACGGTATAAATTCCTCTTGCACGATGGACAAGCTACTTTAAGAAGACGATCGTTTTGGTTATCGTAACTGTGAAATAGATTAATTGTTTTTGATTTGAAGGACAGTTCCATATTAACCATCGATTTATGCTTGCTCCAGCATAATAAAAAAATTACACTCCGATTCTCTTCATGTGTAAGTATGTGATTCTTAATAATCTTTGGTGGCATGTTGCTCTACTACCAGTCGAAGCTGAACTAGTTAATTATATTTCAATATCTATTTTCTTGTATTCTCAGGTATTTCACCTTCTGCACCTCCTAATTTTTGTTTACAATATGCGAACGTTGGTATGTCGAGAGTTTAAGTGAAATATAATAGAACTGGATAAAGTGAGCCTTATATTACGGTATATACACAGTCAATATCGAGATTGTCTATTTACAAACGTAAATAGACAAATAAATTTATTTATTTTAGTTATTTTATTTATAACTTATTATAAATTAACGGGGAAAAATGCTTTTTTTTTAAATGACGATTAAAAAAAAAGTTTTAACTTTGCAATTTTCTGCGCAACGGGAATATGTTGGGGAAGTGATCCCCGACCATATTGAAAAAGAAAATTGGAGGTGTAAGTCGCTTAGAGTTAAAGTTCGTCGAGGACCACCGTGTATATGCATACTCACATTTTGATTTTTCGTTGTCAAAGTGTGGCGGTCATTATAGCAGCTGGAAAGAAGAGGACGGAATATTTGCGAAAAGTGAGCGCGCGCTTTCTTTACTTATTCTCTAAGCGTGGGAGAGAAAGATAGAAGAGAAAAAACGGAGATTGCGACAACATAGAAATGACGCTGCGAGAAGAAGATCGGCAGCATATATCGACAATTCAATTAGCCAACACTTGTCGGTAAAGACCGATACACTGCGGATATAATCGCGGTTCCCAATGTATTATTCAGTGAGAGCTGAGTAAGACTGATTAAGATCTCCAGCTTGCAGAGACATCCGTGGGGAGAGTCGCGCGAATTGGGAAGCGTCATGGTTCTCAGCAAACCGTGGCGGTAGCAATCTCCACCGGCAGATCGTAATCGGCACAGCGACCATCTTCTACATCAAATACGCGGCAACTACAACCGTAGTGCGCAGCGTTGCGCGGTGATCACCACGGTCGAAGTTACCTCGGTTATGAGAACGAACAATAGTGTTCAGCAACAGCATCACCTGCGATCAGAGAGTTTACCGGTCGACCAGCAGTATAATTTCAGCAGTGGTAAATTGAAGCAATGAGGCTCTTTACTCTCTCGTGCGCATTTTCGACGATCATCGCCAATACAGGCTGACATGCAGTTTTCGACCAACCTGTAGTAACGCGAGCGATTGTTATGACAGTGGTGCGATGCAAGGGTGCAGTATTGCTCATTATTCACACCGCAAGCATAATAGATCGTGGTTCATTGAATAACCAATTTATATTCGCGCGCATCGAGCTTGTAGCAGTTAAAAAAAAAGTCGGGTGATTCGTGTTCCATTGATCAAAGTGAGTGTTATTTCATTCGCTCCCTCTACCTTCCACACTTTTGCACGTAATTCCGCGGCCAAGTAGAATCGTCACAGTCTGAGTGCATACATACTTTCCTAGTTCACGACAAATAAATAATTGGACAACAGTCAGTCCGTTAATATAAAACAAAAAAAAAGCGTCTTCACCGTTGCCACTTCCCACATGGATTTTTCAGTCTTTAAAATTTCACGTGTTGCTAGGAAGTATTCAGGCACACCATACAGCAACAGTTCAGATGTGCCTAAATAAAAAATTCGACCAACCTTCGGCGAAGTGTCTTTAAAGTCTTTTATTGACCTATTTTGTAAAGCAGTGAATGAGCAACTTAATCTTATAGTCAAGATGATGATCAAACTGTTTACTCCGTTATTTAAAGGAACGATAATTCTCTTCCGCATCTTAATACCCGCTAGGGCCATAACTGAAATGGCATTTAAATTCTTATGTGAACCAACATAATTATCTTTATATTTTGAAGCGTCGTTGAAAGTCCTCAGCTCGATCACAAACAACCCGTTATACATCTTAGAAACTGGTCCTTTTTGACGTCCACATTTTACTGTATAACACTAACTAGTCCCTTTCATATACTATCCTCTTGTAGTTCAAAAATTTTTTTGTATGCACTATAACAGAGTTTTTGTTCTGAGTGTTTCTATTATGATTGTTTTCAATATAAGCAGATTCAATTATATGCCTATATTAACTCATTAAAAATCGAACGTACATGTTATAATAATGCTTTTTTACAATAAATTTTTTTCAATTTTTTTCATGAATAGAAAACAAATTATTATTTCAATAGTACTATATAGTTACTTTATAATAGATTCTTAATAATTATTACAATCTCACCTGTTGTTAGTAAAGTTTCATTTCCTTGTGGAAGAAGAGTCTGTAGAAGTTGTACTTGTTGGCTATTATTTTTGTATAAGAAACACTGGAAGCAATACAAAACAGCACATCTCAAAGGAAAAGGTTGTTTTTCATTTACCATCGACATCAACAGAATAATTATGGCTGACCTACCATATTAAAATATTTTAGAGAGAAGTATTAATAAATCAGCTCAAAAATTTTTGTTTTCATGAACGAGTTTGTCGAAAATTACATGATATTGTACAATGCTACTTAATAATTTATACAATTTATTAAAGAAAATTTTTAAAGATATAATTTATATTTGCTAATATAATGAGAACTTATCAAAAAAGAAAATAAGTTCATTCCAAATCTTATATTAAGTATATTGGCACATAGGGTAGGGTTTATATCTCTCCTGTTAAGGATTTTATTGTAGTTCTTTTTTGCCAGCACTCATTGCTATGAATTTTATAAATTATGTAAAAAAGTGCCACACTAAATAAAGTTGATTGTATTCTAATCTATATTTCATTTTTTTTCAGTTTTGTACCACAAAGTTTCTGATAACCAGAGAGCCAACATAACCGATAAGACTGAAGGAGCTTAAGAGAGTGTGTAAAAAAACTGAAAATAAGAAAGCCCCTGAACCTACTAATATCACAAACATAGCTCTAAAACGGCAATAAAGCTAACATCGGCTATGTTGCTCTACGTATACGACCGATGCTTAGGAAATAGTTACTTTTCAAGCAAATGAAAGCTAGTTCCTCTTAAAAGGGAACAAGCCACAGAATAAACTATCAGCATACCATCCTTTTTATATGTGCGATACAGCATGCAAGATCATAAATGGATCGTATACAGAATTAATACCATGATAGCGGAAAAATATTTATCAAACAGATAGTACGGGTTTTATGGTAATCTCAGAAGAGAGATGGGAAAACTGTGAGAAGTAATACTGCACAGTAGTAACATTGGACATAGAGAATGCGTTCAACTTTGTAAGGAAGGACTGAACCATTGAAGCACTTGATTTAATCTGTTCATCTTAGTGCCTGCAAAAGTAACCAGCTAGCTACTTCACTGACAAAATGTCACAGTTGACACAGACGATGGACCCAAGGAATTCAAAGTCAGTGAAGGAGTATCACAAATCTCGATACTGACAATTTTATGGATCATCTAATATATCGTACTTTTCCAGAAAATACACGGTGGCGTTAGTCCAAACTTAATCCAAAAGTGCCCATCGTGGGTCTCAAAAGATATAATTTTTATAATGAATTGAAAACAATTTAAGACCTTAAAAAAATATTCAGTTGAAGGTTTGTCAATTAAACTTGGGCCGATTCCATCTCAAATCATACGGAGCTCCATGGGCACCCATGAGCAAACCACACCAAACTATTTTTTTGAGATTCTATGATGAAAATAAAGCGACTTGTATTTTTTTTTTGCCTTAGACGCATATTTGATTTAATATTGAATTTTGAAAATTCACTTCTAAAATTCAAAGTTAAAAAAAAATTTTGAGAGTTGGATTTCGACTTTCTACTGCTCGGTCATTATTAGTCCAAATCGGATGAAACTTTTTTCATATTGTAGCAAAATTGAAGACCTTCAAATATACGTGATCAAAAATGTGCAATGATGCATTTTTCAGAAGATTATGCACTTTTGCATAAAAATTGCATCCTGTAAAAATATCGATTTATCTCAAAAAGGCCATCTTTTTTTTGGCCCATTTTTTTTTTTGTAGATTCGTTGTACCATCGTGTTCAAACGTATACCAGCCCGGTTTACGGTTTTTGCTTTTTTATGGAGAAAAAAAATTAAAAAAAAATTTTTTTCTTCCGTGTCGAAAATTTGAATAATCTATGTAAATGTATATTACTTTTATAAAAAAAAAGGTTCAAAAGTAAATAAAATAATGTTTCACATTTATTTTTTAATATATCTTGAATCTATTCTTTATTTATTTTTCTTTTTTTTGTTTTTTCGCCTGTTATTCACTTTCTTAACTTTTCCTGATAAAACTTTATTTTTCTTTTGACGTACTTGACTATATTTTCCTCTTTTAGCCGAAGTTTTCTTCACCTTGACTTTCCTTTTAGTCATTTTTACTTTTTTCTCCATCTCAATCCATTCATGTACTGCAGTTCTAGCGATAAAACACTTGCTCTTCCCATTGGATGGTTCAGACTTCCACATGTGGCATCTTTGGATACCATCGAATTTCATGGAACTATTCCTATCTTCAATTTTCTCGTTACGAAAATTTTAAAGTTCTTCAGATTCTAGGTGTATTAACTGTATTGAAGTAGTATAGCTTTGAACATATTCAACAAATTTTTCACACATTGAATAGCGTCGATCTCGGAAGAACGTAAATTATGTACCGTTGCATAATGTTTTACTAAACCTCCTAAACCATCAACAGCACCTTTCCCATGACAGGTTGTAGAAAATATCCATTTTTTATTAATGGTTCCTTTTCGAAACTCATGCAACTGAAAACGATTTTTAAAATGACTTGCAGCACCGTCCGATAATATGGTGATCGACTCCAGTACAATATTGTCTTCACTAAGTGTGCTTTCAATTATATCAATAATTTTTTTCATCGCTAATAAAGCATGACAAAAATCATGTTTTTGGTCATCGGTGACAACAACAAAACTCTTCACCATATTTCCTACATAAATAACTGCAGTAAAAATTGAAATCTGTTTGTTTGCCCAGTGGTTTCCTTGAACGGGATTTTTCAAAATTACTGTCCAATTCTCAGCAAAATCAATACGCATCAATAACCATCGACAGTTTTTTGATACTGCTTCTTTTTCAGATTTTATTTCTAACCTTTGTATTTCCTTAATCCTTAAGTGAGAAATAATTTTGATGGTATGCTCTGCAATCTCTTCCTTGAACGTAGCAATAGATACCGTTCTCATTTCTAGAGTACCTTTATTCCAAAATGCAAATGATATTTCACTATCTACCTCAGATACGTCAATTTTTAATTTGTCGAATGTGATGCCATTAGCGCCAGGGCATGAAGTGCATTCTTGAAAATTACAAGACTCTGTAGGGGCTGAACAAACAACATTTGATAACATTTCAGAGCGCATACTCGAAAGACTAGTACTTGTTTGCCCAATAAAATTTTTCAAAGCAATGAGAAGTAGATCAAAATTTGCACAATAAATACATAAGCATACATCGTTCACTGGATCTATTAGTACATATTTTGGGCGCATTGAGTAGAATTTTGATTTGCTAATTTTTATACTAGGATTGTCTTCTTTGAAAACTTTGTATACTTCCTTCATACTCCTCGTTAAAAAACGTTTAACTTTTTTCACCCTTTGCCCATGTTCAATCACAGTAATAACGTCACATTTGTTAGGACTTTGTCTTGAGCAGTTAAAATCATCGTTCAAAAAATATTACATGACTATTTCACTTGTTTCTTTTTCTAATGGATGTCCATTATAGCGATCTGGTTCACTGTAAATTCCTATAATCGAAAATTACACAATAAAACTTCTGCTTTTAAAATAAACTATCAACAAATATATCTAATTTTGAATATTTTAAAAATAAAGTTACCTTCATTTGAAGAAATTTTTCTTGCTTTATCAACCATGTAAGCCGTAACTTGTGGAAACAAAGATAAGATTTGGCATTTAGATAATATAGGAGCTATAATGGTCAAGAGCTTGATCTTGTCTGAAATATTCCGACAACTATCAAAGGCTTTAGCTACGTTATCCTTTAATTCTTTGGACATATGACCCAAATAGCTTTGATCTTCCTCAAGTGGTGTATCATATATTTTTCTTAACTTCCGGCTCATAGCTTTAGTAAACGATGACACGAGTTGTCTTTTTTTTTTAAGAACATATGTTTCGATGTTCATGTGGGAAAGATTTCCTTTTTTTCGCAAAGGCGATACTGGATTTTCCAATTTTGAAATAACTGCATTATTGAATTCATCAACATGTACAGAAGAATCCAGTTCAAACTCACTATCACCACCAACGTTAATCACATTCACTTCCACCGAATCGGGGATCTCAACCGTATCATTATGATCTACACTATCATTATGAGCTCTGTAAATACGCTTGTAGCAATTACTACATACACTACTGTTAGCAGTTATACTTTCATCTGCAAACTTTGTTTGCAAAAATCCTGCGTAATCACCCACAACTTGAAAGTTCAATGTTCTACTTTGATACACGCACTTTTTGTGAACTTGAAAATAATCGGGGCATTTCAGTCTCTTTGCAGAATAATTTTCGAGAGTAGATATGATAACTACAAGAAAGCCAAGCTTCTACTGTCGTCAAATTCCAGATATGCGTATGTGGATAGTACTCGCGTACTCAAAGAATGCGGCAGTGTTTGTAAACATGAGTGTTCAATGATTTACAGTTTGTTTTTATAGAAGTAACATACATTTACGTAGATTATTCAAATTTTCGACACGGAAGAAAAAATTTTTTTTTTATTTTTTTTCTCCATAAAAAAGCAAAAACCGGAAACCGGGCTGGTATACGTTTGAACACGATGGTACAACGAATCTACAAAAAAAAATGGGCCAAAAAAAAGATGGCCTTTTTGAGATAAATCGGTATTTTTACAGGATGCAATTTTTATGCAAAAGTGCATAATCTTCTGAAAAATGCATCATTGCACATTTTTGATCACGTACATTTGAAGGTCTTCAATTTTGCTACAATATGAAAAAAGTTTCATCCGATTTGGACTAATAATGACCGAGCAGTAGAAAGTCGAAATCCAACTCTTAAAATTTTTTTTTAACTTTGAATTTTAGAAGTGAATTTTCAAAATTCAATATTCAATCAAATATGCGTCTAAGGCAAAAAAAAAATACGTGTCGCTTTATTTTCATCATAGAATCTCAAAAAAATAGTTTGGTGTGGTTTGCTCATGGTTGCCCATGGAGCTCCGTATGATTTGAGATAGAATCGGCCCTTGATTTTTATACACTTTTTATATTTTGCAGGATTTATTAGTAATCAAGTTTCAATAGTATATTATAAGTTGTTACAAATTAAACATTCGTCATACTGTGACGTCGCAAGTCACTCTAACATGGAATTATACACAGTCTAGCATTTAAATCCCA